GTCAAATTTTTATGATATCTTCAAACATATATTTTATTCAAAAATAAAAACATYATCGCTTTCTCAAAATCACATAAAGCCATATTATAACATCAACTGAGATAAATAATAAAATGAAATATTAAAATCATGATATATCTCGCTGCATTGCGCGAGTACGTTTCTAGTTTAAATAAAATAAATGAGAAAATTTAGATTTAGATGAATTGTAAATGTAACACCCCCAGAACCCCGTAGCAATGATATTGTCCGCTTTGACTAACCTGCCCGCTCAACCACAAAGCAGTAGCCGCACGGTTTTGTTTCTGACAGCCGCACAACGCAAGCCCCAAAACGCGTCATGTTAGGCTGAGGTATCCACACCCTTATAAGGAGTGCTTTGTTCACCTCACCAACCGATGTGGGACGGGCTGTTACAGTAAATATATACGATTACTAGTTTCTTTTAATGTATACGAGTGAAAGTCAACATAGGAAGTTTAATATTTTGCAATGGTGAGGGAACACCAAACACAATTCTTCATCGTGGTCGATATTTACTACAGGTCCAAGTTAGCACGAGATCCTGCCTATTTAAAGTTACAATGCCGTTAAAAACTCTAAAAGGACTACCCCAACTTTTGTGCTTGCTAAAACAAAGTTCGGATGTTTTGGATCGATAGCCGAAAACGGCATTATGTATCTCTTTACCATGAAACTTGAGTTCCAGTAACTTGAATGTTCAATTTAATGGTGAATCTGTAACTATAAAATTTATGACGAATTCTTTTAAAGATTATTAGACATATTATATTGTATAGCTAATAATTAACTGATTTACACATTAATAATTGACTCGTCATATAATATAAGAAAAATGGTGAATTAGGTATCAAATATCTAATACGTTAAGCAACAAACATTAAATAACACAAGTTTGTTGATCCAAGTGAATTTTCAAAGGTTACGCGGTCCCAAAATGAATAAAGCTGTGAACTTTATGTTAAAGCAATATAAAGTCGTGATATATTATTAATAAATGAAATATGTAGCAACTAATTACAGACGTAACAAATAAACATTTACTAAATTTAACATGGTCCCACCACTAGAAGAATCATGTATGTCCACAAAAAAGTAGGAACTCTATTCACCAAACATAACCCAAAACATAATTACAAACCGAAACCACGAGTTTTTTTTTTTATTAACTTGGATATCCAACCCGCTATGCGAGCCGCTTAATCCCAGGGCGACCACCTGCTTTACAGATATCTCGGAGTCACCGCATTTGAATCTTCGTGGCCACATGAGGATTTTTATTCCTTCTTGGATTTGAACATTGGACCTCCAAGTACTTTTGATCTTTGGAGCTAAACTCAAACCAATCAGGCACCACCCTTATGGTTAATCACGAGTTTTGATTCAAACTATAGAAACTACCGAAACTAATCAACACACTTGTTTCTATTTGATTTTTGTGATTAATAAGGTGATAACACAAGGGTTGTAACTCACTCAAGAATGGGACAATAGTGGTCCGCCGACAAGCTCGTTCTGACTATCTTCTGTCCAGATAGATATGACCCTGTGTTATATAACAACCCAAACAAATTTCAAACAATATAAACACTGAAAACAAATTTCGTTACCTTGGAATTAAGGATTTCTAAACTTCCTTAAAATCGAAACAAATGTCAGTATTGAATATGTCATCACAAAGTACAAGCGTCAATAGAAGCATCCTTGCAAACGTCTCCTTGCCTTCGTTTTTTCTTTGTTTTAGTCATTGGTTGTTTCGTATCACTTCTTTCAATGGGCATTTTTTCATGTTGATTTGTATGAAAAAAGTAATAAAGAGATTCCATGGGGGCCTTAGTGCAAAATAAAAAACTAAAAGGTACTAAATTACAAAAACCTCAATCTTAGGGTCCTTTCTGCAATAAAACCGAAGAAAAATATACCGGTTCCTCCAAATTCCAAAATCCCGATGAACAAACAGCCCGAGGTATCAATTCAACGCAGACAGAGAACCACCCCAAACCCTTAGGTTTTCAGGTTCTTGAATTTGTCTTACAGTGTTCGAATTATATACGAAGTTCTTTGAAAAATTGTTTCAGTTTGAGAAATTTCTCTGTGATATCGTGTTTCTTGTCAACTGGTTTTGGTTTTCGCAGTGAAATCTTAGCATTTCGATGGAGGATTTACAGGATGCTTGCGATCCCGTTGAAAGGGATAATAGTACGTGTTCGACATCCACGAGTTCTGGTTACCGGTTATTTGATCGACAGACCACAATTCACCAGTTGATGGGCGGCGGAAAGGGTACAATTCGTTTTACTTCAAAACCTATTATTATAATCATAAGAAGTAAACCTTCACGCAGAACTGTTAGTAATTTCTAATTTTATATTCGGTGAAGTTATGAAATTGTTCTCTGAAACATTTACAGAAGTCGTATCGATTTTAAAGCTGGAAACTGGAATCGGAAAAATGATTATTTCTCAATGAGAACTGTGTTTTGAAAGTTGTATTGTGGAAGTGTATTGTTATGTTATATTTTGTGTGTGTTCAAGTGTAAGTAGATGTAAAACTCTTTTAGTTTATGCAGGCATAGTTAATTTCTATATAGTTGGAGAATGTAGTCGATTTCTTATTAAAACCCTTTACTTTTAGCTTGTATTCATATGTAAACAGCTACAAATTCAGAATCTATAAAGTAGAGTTATTTGGCAGTGGAGTAGAATAGTGGATAATATACTCATCTATGGAGCATCGAATATGGTGTACTAGATTCTGATTTGGGGAGTCCTTATCATCGTTTAATTGACCTCTATTGGCATTTAGTGGATATGTTTTAATGAAACTACGATTTTGACCTTCATTACCTCAGATGTTATGCTTATATGTTGTTTTCTTGACTCCCAGCGGCTGATGTTCTGTTATGGAAGAGACAACGTATTTCATGGGGCATCATTATTGTTGCAACTGTTGCGTGGCTAATATTTGAGCGATCAGGATTATCATTCTTAACAATTTGTTCCGATGTTCTGCTGTTCTTGATCGTACTGCGGTTTCTACATGCCAATTATGCTTCTTTAAGGAATAAGTATGCATGATTTTGCCTTTATAAATTGTAACATTTGAAAAATAAACATGGCCTTATTTCATTATGTCATTCGCTTACTATAGCTGTTTGAAAACTGCACAGACAAATTCAGACGTTACCTGAACTGGTCTTGTCAGAGGAGATGGTCAATTATGCTGCTGCATCTTTTCGTATCAAAGTAAATTATTTGTTACTTATGGCGCATGATATCACCCTTGGCAAGGACTTCAGGCTCTTTTTCATGGTTTGTGATCACCAACCCTATTAGAGACTTGTTAGGCTTTATATAGTATTTTTAGTGCACTTGACGTTTAAGGAAACATTTATTTGTAAGGCGTAGCTTTACTTTTGATATCACAAACTTTAGCAATACTTAGTTGTGTTACTTCAGAGACCCTTGCTTGCAATTGAGACCTACCGAATGTTATTGTGATTTGACATTTTCTTCATTTATTGAAAGAGAATATGACCACTTCCTTTTGATAAAACCTGCAGGTAGTGGGCTTTCTGTGGCTCTTATCTGTCCTTGGGAGTTTAATCTCTTTCTTCACCCTTGCCTATATAGGTATGAACATCTGTCTCCATCAAATCAACTTAGTCAACTCTGATGTTTATTCTATATAAGCTTTTTATGTGTATGTTTTGTGTCTGTTAGCATTAGCCTCGTACAGGTGTTGGAACCTTAATCAGTACCTGGTATTTTCTGACTATACACAACTCTACTATCTCTCAAACCCTAAGAATAGTTAAAAAAATGACACTAATCTTGTCGTGTGCTCGATTATTTTTATGCCAAATCTTGTGTAATGGATGGGTAAATACAATCTTACAAGTTTGAGAGAAGGGAAGACTAGGAATTTAGGTCAGGTATAATAGTTTTTAGAATTCAGAGCAAAGATTCAAGGTAGGATGAATATGTTAAAAAAATGGAAATCTAGAAACATGAGATTCTGAGCATTAGGCGTGGAGCTATAATACTGCAAGAGAAACATGTGAATTTCATTTCTCTATCACGTGATAGATCTATTTTTATGTTAATCCATTTGTCTCTCCCATGGTGGGCAGACTATACACAAAGAGGCTAGCATGTCTTGTTAGCGGTTACACATGTGAGTTAATTTTTTCTTTTCATTGACACCATGATGGGAATTTGAGCTGAACTCTAAGATTGCATAGAAGCAGTGGGAAAATGGTCTTACATAAAAAGGAATGGGCCAGAATATAAGTGGCATGTGTTAGTACAAGAAGTATCACGGTCAATGAAGAGGTTGGGAAGGCCTGGGCACCTTTTGAAGATCTTATCAAGTATCAAGAATGGTGGTTTAGATTATAGCAAAGAATTCTTGTTTTGAACGCAGATTTGTATTGTAGAAGCAGCAGACATGCAGGGTACTCATAGAGAGATAATAAGTTAGCCTCTTGATGAAGTCATAAACCCTCTGTCCCAAAAACGCCACCAAAAAGCTTAAGAAAATATCCAATTTGCATCTGGATAACCCCATTATCTTTTTGCTGTTGTTCAGATGCTGTACCATTATCTTAGAAGAAGGGAAAACAGTATCTTAAAATTTAAATAACGTATGATGTACCTGAAACAATAGGATATCAACCGGGAAGTGGACTATTTTCTTGAACAGTAACGCTATATCCTAAAGATCCTCCTAATGGACTCTTGGCAAAAGTTCCTACATATGCAAAAGTCAACATCATTTACTCGTGTCCATTTGGAGGATATTTAGGAGGATATGACATTACTGTTTCTTGAAAACTGAAGGAGTAACATATTTTGTTGTGGAGCTACCTTTACTATCTTGTATATATGCTTTTTTTTTCCAAGTTAGTTCTGCTTTCATTAGCATTAGCATTAAGTTTGGCACTCTTGGCTTCTTGCTGGTTGTGGTTATTATTGTTTTATCAAGACCAGTTATCATATATTTATTTTCTTGATATGCCGATATCTTTACATTCTATTGTAATGCATCCATCAATTATGGCATACTTTTTTTTACCTCAATCATTTTATGAACTTGTTCTGTCTCGCAACATTTGGTTCATGTACAAACACTAGTATTGAAATTTAAGGTTAGTACAATTGTAAATACTGTATACCTCATTACCTCCTCTTTAGCACCCATGAAATTTTATGGAACTTGTAAATTTTATTTGCACTCAAGCTCTTTATTTTGGTATCCTTGTCTTGGATGTGATATCTAAACATTTGGACTAAAGTACATTATGCAAAATAGGAATCGGACCGGAGTATGTTACATAATCATGCATTCTCATGTGCAAATTAGGTACGTAAAAGTTTGACATGTCACATAGGTGCAAAAATGAAGGTTTTGAAAGTATGTTAACAAAATAGGAATCAGATCAAAGTAAGTTGCACTTGTTGTGCAATTTGCCCAAATTTAAATATAATGGAAACAGTTAATAACATGTGATTGTACTCTTCGGCATTACAGGATGTGGAGTATTAGTCTATATGCTTATAATTATGCAACTTCTTTTGGTGAATCTCTTTCTGGTTGCACTTCTTTAATGAACCCTAGACGACCACTGTTGTGCGTTTGGTATATGTATACCAACTGGACTGGAAAGGAGTAGACTGGACATGACTAGATGAGCGAGAGTAGGATAGGCGGGTGAAAGAATTCTGGAACGTTTTATGGTTTTAATGTGACTTTGGTAGTTTATTAATTCACCAACCTTGTCTTTGTTTCATTGATTTTTGTTCCATCTATTTTGATGGGATAGGAAAAATGTATTTTTGTCCCACCCAGGTCCTGAACTGTTCCAGTCCAATGTCGTGCCAAATGTGTTCCGTCATGTCCCACATACCAAACGCACCCTAAAGTACTCCCCCCCATGGCCATGGTGTAATCCTAACGTATTTTGGTTTCAAACATGATGTCAGGAACGATCCTGTGTGTGACACTACCTGCATTGTACAATAGATACGAAGAGAGAGTTGATGGTTGTGCTGGTACCATCCATCGAAGCTTTTCAAGACATTACAAGATTGTGGATGAGAATGTTATGAGCAGACTCCCGCGGAATTTACCCAAAGACAAAGCGATGTAACCATACTCATACTTTCATCCCAGATGCATTTTGTTGTACATTTGTTTACAGATCCTTGCTTTTTCCTCAATTGGCTGAAGCATTGACCTTCATCGTTGTTTTTTGTTAAATGAAGTAATGAACCATGTCATTCATAGTGCATTTTCTATATATTTTTTGGGTTCATTTGATTCATTTGGTTTTTTACAACAAATTCAGACGATCGGATTATTTGGTAACTTGGCCTTCTTCTGAAGCTTAACACACTGGTCGCTAGCTTGTGTGAAAAGGTTTGCGTCTTTTACATCGTGGTAGTTCTGAAGTATATATTTGTATATGATAAAACTTATACACATTCCTCATCTTTGGTGAGAATTGACTTCAAAGAGGTTGGGTCGCTGGGTCAATGATGTTTTGGTTATCATGGTAGTTCAAGATTTGTCTTTAGCGGTGTCAGTTTTCTTGGTTATAACTAACGTGCTGGGTATTTTCAATTCTTGTGTAACTGTATTGGAAATACGAGTTTGAAGTCGATCGATTTGTTATCCCAAATGTTAAAAAGGATAGATTAGTTTGAGTTGGCTTGTTCTGGGTATGGGCATACTTAAATCCAGCTCTGGTTATGTATGTGGTGGGTTGCATAAAGTTTCAAACCAAACCTCAGCTTAGATTGAGTTGGACTTGAAACCAATTTGGTTTTCTTACAATGATTAAATGATCGTTAGTTAGTCGTGAGAGGTGCATTAGGCTGCCAAGACGACCAATGACTGTATTGAACTCTTCCTACGTGTGGGCCGATGATCTAAACCCGTGAATATTAGCGTTGTTCTTGAAAAAATGTCATATGTCTGTTATGTACACTCTTTTGCCAAAATAGATTAATCTTGACTGTACGAGTCTTTTTTGTATGTGTACACTTGTTTCTAATAAGATTATGATCTTTGCTTGTAGTCGTATGTTTGATTATTTTTTTGACAAATATACACACCAGACTGTATGATTTGATTTGGCTTATGATAAATTTACAATCTTGTGTACTTGGCACGTTTGGTTTATATCCATGTGCTTTTTATCCTTTTGACGAGTATATAAGAATATGATTTTTGTATTATTGTCCAACACATGATTACAGACTTGGGATTATATGAGAATAAAAGTCATAGTGAGAACAAAATCATCATCTACTTTCAATTACTTTTAAATATATTCATTAACCTATTTCTATCACCACAACTGAAACTTTAACAAATTCATACATGTAAAAGTGATTGAAAACATATAAAAATTCGTGAAGATGAATGAAATTTAAGATTAAGGTTGATGAAAATAGTTAAAGGCCTGTGTTTTTGTTAGCAATCAATTGATACTTAATTGAAGGTCAGTAAACTTTTTTTAACCGTTAAGTAAAAATATCAACTCATTCAACAAATTAAAAGTATCATCACCATTCATCATAGCATATCAGGATGAATTTACATTGGGGGAATTTGGCCCCAATCAAACTCAAAGACGTTCGCTTATATATGTAATTCTAATTACGAATATTTTTTCCTTCAAAATTTCCAATTTGAAGTGGTTTTTATAACATTAATTGGAATTTTTGGTTTATTTTTAAAAAGGTTACAATTTTTTTTTCCATTTCAGTCATTAATCTGCTATTCGATTTAACTAAAATAGTAAAAAGAAAAATTGAATTAAATAAGGCATTTTTATTTCGCTTTTAAACCGTTCAGTTTGAAAACCAAATAATCCTAATCGCATTTGGTTCGAAAGGGTTTTATTGTTTCTAAATCCACCAATGATAGCTTTCATTCTTCCAAAAACCCAACCCCTAAATCATAATAGCAAAAGGGGCTAACTTCAATGAACTACTAAGCTATTTAAGTAATAATTAAATGCTTTAGTATAATGGATAAATAAAAGTGGATGGGGTTTTGTTGCATGTAAAGTGAGGTTCAATTATTCAGCAACTTTAAAAGAAAATGATGGTGCGACGTGCAATTTGCCAAGCAGGTGAACACCTCACGTGGTGTGATCGTTTCTACTTTCAAGACTTTCATGTGGTGTGGGGTGATGCAAACGTGCACCTACGCATCTTTCTAATCATTTCATTTTTTTTAAAATAATCTTTGAAGGTGTTTTTAAGACTGCGTTTGGTATAGGGTATGAGACATGATAGGATGGTATAAAATTCATTGTCCCACGTTTGATGTAACATGGAACATAATAGGATAGGACCAGATAAAATTCACTATCCCATGTTTGGCGCAACATGAGACATGGAGAAGAATTGGGACAAGGTGAGAGCATAGGACGAAAGAGACTTTTTATTTAGGTGGAACAAGATGAGACAAAAATGAGATAAAAACTAAAATATTATTAATCTACCCTAGTTTGATATATAACCTTAGGGGGTGTTTGGGATTGCTTATTTAAAACAACTTATGCTTTTTTTTTTTGTAAAAGTGCTTATTAACTTATGTGGTATCAAAACAGAGTTAAAATTGTAAACTGGTAATAAGCAGTTTTTCATAAGTCAGAAATGATTAACTTATCAAAAACACCTTATTACCGGTTTGGCACCGGTATAAACAATTTTTTTTTTCTTATCCAAACACCAAAAAACAGCTTATCACCGGTGCCATACTGAAATAAGTTAAAAAACAGCTTTTGTAAGCAATACCAAACACCTCCAATAATAGTCATCACCGCTAGTTTTGGCGGCCATCACCACCGACGGTCACCGTTTGCCACTTCCACCTCCTCTTCCACTACAACAACATCCTCCACTGCCTTCACAACCACCGTCGACCATTGTCCATCGCCCCATCTACCATAGTCGACCACCAAACACCACTGTCCATTGCTACCACCACCACCACCATCGTCGGCACCTCCAACTCCTCCTCTACTGGAACAACCTCCTCGACAACCTCCACAACCATCGTCGACCATCGACCACCACCGTCTATTGCCACCTCACCTCCATCATCACCACTATCTTCACTACATCAACCACAACTACCTCCTCCAACGTTGTCAACTGCCACCACCATAATCCACCATCTTCACGTCCTCTATAACCACCGTCATCCAACAACGACCACTGTTTCTACTTCCATAACCACCACCGCCCATCGCCACTACTACCGTCGGCCACCACTACCGTCGGCCACCACCACCTCCACTACAACCAAAACCACCTCCACTACCACTACTACTACTACCATCAATTATATATAAAAAAAAATCATTCAAATTTGGTACCATTATATATGTATTTATTCATTTATATGAAAATTGTGTAAAAATATTCATAAATTAAATTATTTAATTATTTACTTTATTTGTGTTAATTATAACTATTATATAATGATTAAATAACTTTTGGGGACAACTTGTCTAGTTTTGTTTCGTCCAATCTTAGTTGTACCAAACATCAGACATACATTTGTTTTGTCCAGTCCTACCATCTTGTCTAGTCCAATCATGTCCAGTCATGTCTTGTCCAGTCCTGTACAATCATGTCTGCGACCAAACACTACCTAAGAAAATTTGAAATTCAATGGTTAATGTATCTCATACACACACACATGCACGCACACGCACCTGAATGAACTTGATTCCTTTGGGTATGTTCGATAATATCAAACTTCAGTTAAGTTTCTATATATATATATATATATATATATATATATATATCAAATACATATTAAATAAAACGAGAGATGATGACAATGTAGAGTGGCAAAATATTTTCATTGGCGCCATTTTCATGTCTTGTTCCGTTGTATATGTACTTGGTAAATGTTTGATAAGAAATAGATTGAAAGTCGATCTTGCTAAAGATACCCAAGGAGATTTGAGTTCTTATTGGTGGAATGCCTGACCAATGTTTCGACTTCAGAGGATGAAACATACACGTTCGACTTAATGGTTGTATGTAGTTTATTTATTTATAAATAATATGTATTGGTTTTTCGGTTTAATAATTTGTTTTGATTGTGGTGGAAAAATTTCAATTGAATGCGAGTGTATGCATCTTATACAATCAAGTTTCAATAAAACGTCTTTTTACCTCGAATATTTTCTCTTCCCCGCTCAAATTATTTGATGACTCCATCAAAAAATCTAAATGAACCCACTCAATCCTCGTATTTGAGATTTGACTCTTTGACCTTTCTTTTTTATTTTTTTGGTATTTTTTAATATAAGGCTTAATAAGAGTGTTAATTCTAAAAGGTGAGGTTTTATGAGTGTGTTTATAAGGTAATTTTTAGATTGTTTTTGTTTCTTCTATTAAATATATATATATATATATATATATATATAAATGTGTTTATATGTTTATTAAACGTTTGTTTGTGAACAGTTTAATAGGCTTAATGAGACTCACAACTTATTCGGTCAGCTATATATGAGTATATGGTAGAGACTTAATTATATAGAATATGGTTTATTCATTAACTCTATAAGCGAGCTTTATACAGAAAATCAAGTTTTTTTTTTTTTTTTTGAACTTGTCCCTCCCAATTAAAAAAACACGTTCCTTTCATATATTAAAAACTCCACTCAAACAAAAACTATCTATACTGACAGATTAATATATACAAACAACTTTATCCATACAAAACTTAATGGAAAACCCAAACAACCCTACGTATTGTTTTAAGTTAGGGTTTGGTGTCTAACTGTCATTTGATAAAAAAATTGTAATCTTCGAGCAATATATGGAAAGATTTCCAAAAAATTAAATTATCAACATTTGGACTCAATAGAGATGACATTCATCCTCAACCTATCTCTACTCCTTCGATGCCTATACGTTGATTTAAATGATCTTTTATCGAATCCATCCAAAAAGAAAAAAATATTTTGAACTATAAATGTGTTAGCGATGTTAATTTAAGTTCGACACACAGTCACCAAAACTTCTGGATCCGCCAGTGCATACAACTGTCATTCAAGCTTAGATAATAATCCCACAACTAAGGTCCGAGGATTTTTTTTTTCCTGATTAACCTGGATATCCAATTCGCTATGCGAGCCGACTAATCCCAGAACGACCACCTGCTTTGCAGATAGCTCGGAGTCACCGCATTTGAACCTCTGTGGCCACAAGGGGATTTTTACGACCCAATAACTTCATATTTAACTTAAAATCAAGGTGTAAGAT